GAGGAGATCCAGCATGAGTTCATTTACGTAGATGAGGCTGGGTTCAACCTGACGAGAACACGAAGGAGGGGAAGAAACATCATTGGCCACAGGGCTATAGTCAATGTCCCAGGGCAACGTGGGGGTAATATAACACTCTGTGCAGCCATTACACAGAATGGGGTCCTCCACCGCCATGCCCATATGGGCCCTTACAACACAGCACTCATACTTACATTCTTGGACCAATTGCACAACATAACAGCAGCAAATCAAATCGATCATATGCAATACATTGTTGTCTGGGACAATGTGTCTTTCCACCGCTCTGCTCTGGTTCAGAACTGGTTTCAGCAACATCCACATTTCACCGTCCTATATCTTCCACCATACTCTCCATTCCTCAACCCTATAGAAGAGTTTTTCTCGGCATGGCGGTGGAAGGTATATGATCTCCGTCTCCAGGCTGAGGTACCCCTCATCCAAGCCATGGAGGAGGCCTGTGACCAGATGGAGGTAGCAGCAATGCAAGGATGGATTCGTCATTCAAGACGTTTCTTTCCAAGGTGTCTTGCTAATGACAACATTGCCTGCGATGTTGATGAAATTCTCTGGCCAGATCCAGCTAGGCGAAGAGACAATGTCTAGTTATTTTTTTTTTTTTAATTTGAACTTACAATACGTAAAGTGACGTTTGGTTACAGTATTATGAATCTCCATGTCAACATTTTGGGCGTGTTGAGAAATAAATGAGTTTCTTCAGTCTGCAACATTGGTCTTGTGTAGTGTTTGGTGAATTTACATTATATTTGTACTTTGTTGATAGTAGCCTACTCTAATCATAGGGAAGTAGAAGTGCTAAAAGTGTTTTTGGTTTATCACAGCAGAGTGTAACTCGTGCAAACAGAGTATAGTAATGTGAAACGTGTGTGTTTCATATGGTAACAAAGTGTGGTTTTTAAAAAGAAGTGTATAGTTTTTACAAGAGTGTTTAATTTTGCAAAGGATCTGTAGTGTTTTGCTAATTGGGTGTGTGGTTGTGCTAATTGTCTGTAGTGTTTTGAAAACACGGGCCCTGTTTTGAAAATTGTGCTTAAGCAATCAAAAAAAACTGTAATGGCACCTGTTTGAACTTGTTATCAGTATAAAAGACACCTGTCCACAACCTCAAACAGTCACACTCCAAACTCCACAATGGCCAAGACCAAAGAGCTGTCAAAGGACACCAGAAACAAAATTGTAGACCTGCACCAGGCTGGGAAGACTGAATCTGCAATAGGTAAGCAGCTTGGTTTGAAGAAATCAACTGTGGGAGCAATTATTAGGAAATGGAAGACATACAAGACCACTGATAATCTCCCTCGATCTGGGGCTCCACGCAAGATCTCACCCCGTGGGGTCAAAATGATCACAAGAACGGTGAGCAAAAATCCCAGAACAACACGGGGGGACCTAGTGAATGACCTGCAGAGAGCTGGGACCAAAGTAACAAAGCCTACCATCAGAAACACACTACGCCGCCAGCGACTCAAATCCTGCAGTGCCAGACGTGTCCCCCTGCTTAAGCCAGTACATATCCAGGCCCGTCTGAAGTTTGCTAGAGTGCATTTGGATGATCCAGAAGAGGATTGGGAGAATTTCATACGGTCAGATGAAACCAAAATAGAACTTTTTGGTAAAAACTCAACTCGTCGTGTTTGGAGGACAAAGAATGCTGAGTTGCATTCAAAGAACACCATACCTACTGTGAAGCATGGGGGTGGAAACATCATGCTTTGGGGCTGTTTTTCTGCAAAGGGACCAGGACGACTGATCCGTGTAAAGGAAAGAATGAATGGGGCCATGTATCGTGAGATTTTGAGTGAAAACCTCCTTCCATCAGCAAGGGCATTGAAGATGAAACGTGGCTGGGTCCTTCAGCATGACAATGATCCCAAACACACCGCCCGGGCAACGAAGGAGTGGCTTCGTAAGAAGCATTTCAAGGTCCTGGAGTGGCCTAGCCAGTCTCCAGATCTCAACCCCATAGAAAATCTTTGGAGGGAGTTGAAAGTCTGTGTTGCCCATCGACAGCCCCAAAACATCACTGCTCTAGAGGAGATCTGCATGGAGGAATGGGCCAAAATACCAGCAACAGTGTGTGAAAACCTTATGAAGACTTACAGAAAACGTTTGACCTGTGTCATTGCCAACAAAGGGTATATAACAAAGTATTGAGAAACTTTTGTTATTGACCAAATACTTATTTTCCACCATAATTTGCAAATAAATTCATTACAAATCCTACAATGTGATTTTCTGGATTTTTTTTCCTCATTTTGTCTGTCATAGTTGACGTGTACCTATGATGAAAATTACAGGCCTCTCTCATCACAATTGGTGGCTGACTAAATACTTTTTTCCCCCACTGTCTATGAATTCATTCAGGATTTCCTCAGCATCCATCCGCAAAACTCTCTGAAATACAGTGAAAGACAAGATTGTGTGGTTCAGGATAGGTCTAGTATACAGTCAATGTAAAAAGGTCATGTGTGCAGTATGCAACATCACAGTGCTAAAGTGAACAATACAAACCTCCACATACTCATGCCGCTGCCGTTTGACCCTCTCTGAATTCCGCTCAAAAGGCACTCGATAAAGTTGTTTCATTTGAACCTGATGTATTTTCAGGATGCGTGCCAGTGTTGACTGAGAGACCTGATGGATATGATTGAAAATGGCATGGTCACCGATAATGTTGGCTTGTAGTTCTCTGAGCCTGATAGTATTATTGGCCAAAACCATGTATATAATCTCTCTCTCTCTTGTTCTTGCGTGAATATGGGCCCCCTTCCTCCTTGTCGTTCCCGACCCTCAATCCTATGTAGAGAATAATACATGTAACTTACTGTACAATGTCACAGGAAGGGGTATCACAAGTGCTGATATGGTGCATACAATAAGCGGCTAATTACTGTAACTGTAGAAAGATCTTATTTTACCTGTTTTCCTGTCGAAAAGTCCTTATAACAGATGCCACTGTATATCTGCTAAGATTTGGCTGAACTCTCAGTCCAGCCTCCCTCAGCGTCAATCTGTGGTTCACAACATGGTCCACTAGTGTTGCACGAATGTCATTTGATAAGTTTGGTCCTCTTCTTCTTTGTGCACGTTCTCCTCCTGCTTCAGGTCTTCCTCGACCTCTGGCTCGGCCTCTGCCTCTTCCTCTACCTCCTTCTCCTCCTCTGTGTACTCCTCCTCTCACCCTCACTCTTCTTCTGACTCCTTCCATTTTGGTTGAAGGCAGGTGAACCTACCTGCTGCATTTTTATAGTGCTTAAACCTGATTGGTGTGTCTACAATTTAGCAATCATGTGTTTGTGCACCTGATGGCTGTGTTTAACAGATTGGCTCATAGGTGTGGTAATTTCACAGTCAGTGCTTTGGAATTGCAAGGAAGTGACATCATGATATACTTCTGTTTCTGATGAATACAAGTGTGTTTAGTGTTTTGCAAATCACTGTGTGTAATGTTTTGCAAATAGTGTGAAGCTGACAATGTGCTTACAGTTGTGCAAATCTAGCCTTGTGTTTTGCTCCTTGAGTGTAAGGTTTTGCTAATTGTGGGAAAAGTTTAGTTTTAGTGTGTAAGCAATCGTAAAAAACTGTAATTGCAAAATGTGTTTACTATATAATCTTTTTATTTTAATGGTGTAACTACATGCCCTGGACGCTGTGTTCTCCATTTTTTGATGTAGTGTCTAATGAACGCTCTGTAGTGTTTATATATTGACTGGCTGTGTGTATGATCTGAAAGCATTGTTTGATTTTGAGCACAGATTAAATGGTTTTGAGGCAATTGTTTGATTTTTCCAGAAGAGTCAGGGGTTTTGTGAATGTAGTTTGAAGATTTGGTTTTGTGTTGAAAGTTTTGAGAAAATGGGTGAAGGTTTCAAGAAATGTGTCTTAGCAATCGAGAAAAACTGTAATACACAATTTAGAAGGGAAAACATAACCAGATACCATCAACATACAGTATATCAACCATTTGAGGCCCTCAATGGAGCTTGTATTAAATGACATGAAAATGATTACTAATTGTGATGAATCTGTATGACTTTGACTGAGTTAAGTGTGCTGCAAGCAGGGCCGTCATCAGTAATAGATTTAGTACAGTACGCTCAATGCCAAACATTGCACTTGACTCCACTGTCATAAGGCCTACATAACACTGTCATTAACATCATATACCAGTTGTTAAAGTTGGTATAACACAGTTATAAGAGCTTATAACAACTGACTTAGCACGTATAACACCTATAACACCAATGCACTAGCCTGTTAGCTAACCTGAACAACACTTTGTGTCACCAATAAAGTATTACAGCAAGTTGTCATTGATGCCTCAACTGTTTATAACATTTGCTATGTCATCCTTATGTAAACCTTATGTAGGTGTAGGAGGTGGCAATAAAGTCTTCACACCAATTACATAGATACTTCAGGCTATAGTACATCATCACTGTGCGACTTTAAGAGATATGAAATCATCTTCCTGCAACCAAAAGTGCCCATTACCTAATTCAACCCATTACTCCACTTCCCCAAACACTCCATTCACGACACAACACTTTCTCTCAAACCACACACAACAAAAGTCTAATTCCACTTCTATTTTTCAAACACAAGAGCTCTCTGGATTAGTGTGACTAAGTGGTAGCATTATTATCTTCTACCTAATAAATATGACAAATTGTATACAAATATACACCTAAAGATCAGAGATGTACGAGAGAGAGAGAGAGAGAGAGAGAGAGAGAGAGAGAGAGAGAGAGAGAGAGAGAGAGAGAGAGAGAGAGAGAGAGAGAGAGAGAGAGAGAGAGATAGAGATAGAGATAGAGATAGAGATAGAGATAGAGATAGATAGTAATTGGGACAGAGAGGGGAGAGACAGAGAGGGGAAGTAAAACACAGTAACAAGATTGAGAAGAGAGGGAAAACGATACATAGATACAGTGAGAGTGAGTTTGTGTGTGTCTGTTTTAGGTGTCACTCTCGAAGGTGTGCAGGTAGGTCTTGAGGGAGAGGGTCTGGGTGTAGTTCAGGGTGGTGGAGCGGTACATGTCCAGGCCTGTGAGGATCTCCACGTCTCTGACCCGCGCTGTGTGCAGCTTCAGCAGCTCCTCCACCCACTGTGACTCGTCCTCTGAGCTCTGCAGGACCACCACAAGTCAAGATGAAATGTTTATGTATGTATGTTACATATAAATCATATGTAAATCTGACATTATTATGATCATCGCCTGGCTCATTCAATCTCTTTGTATTATTTATAGAAAGCATTTCAAAAGACTACACACAGAGTTACACGGTCATCAATTTCGAAAGAGCGGAAATTACAATGACGTTACCAAAAAATAAACTAGCTGCATTCATAGAAAACTCACTATATTGTCACGAACGTCGGAGGAAGTGGACCAATGCGCAGCGTGATAAGTGAACATACTTTTTTATTAGAGATGATCACACGAACAAAACAACAAACGATACGAAACGTGAAGTCCTTGGTTACAATACAAACCATACGGAACAAGATCCCACAAACACTGTGGAAAAACAGGCTACCTAAATATGGTTCCCAATCAGAGACAACAAGCAACAGCTGATTCACGTTGCCTCTGATTGAGAACCACACCGGCCAACATAGAAACAAACGAACTAGACAATCACCCTAGCACACAAAACACATAGAAACCACACACCCTGGCTCAACATAACAGAGTCCCAGAGCCAGGGCGTGACAGTACCCCCCCCAAAGGCGCGGACTGCGACCGCGCCAAACATAAACCGAACAGGGGAGGGCCGGGTGGGCATTCCTCCTCGGAGGCGGTTCCGGCTCCGGGCTTGACCCCCACCCTCCAACCAACCCCCCAAAGCGCCCCTGGTCCGATCTGGCCCTGCTGGCCGGAGCTGGACTGAACACTGGTGGAGCGGATTGCTCTAGCTCCGGAGTGGAGCAGCTGACCGGTGCCGGACCAGGCACCGGTGGAAACAGGCACGGGCTGTGCCGGACTGACGACGCGCACCACAGGCTCGGTGCGGGGAGCAGGGACGGGCCGGATCGGGCTGACGACGCGCACCATTGGCTTGGTGCGGGGAGCAGGGACGGGCCGAACCGGGCTGACGACGCACACCATTGGCTTGGTGCGGGGAGCAGGGACGGGCCGAACCGGGCTGACGAAGCGCACCACTGGCTTGGTGCGGGAAGCAGGAACAGGCCGGACCGGGCTGACGACGCGCACCACAGGCTTGGTGCGAGGGGCAGGAACATGCCGGACCGGGCTGGCGACGCGCACCACAGGCTCGGTGCGAGGGGCAGGAACAGGCCGGACCGGGCTGACGACGCGCACCACAGGCTTGGTGCGGGGAGCAGGGACGGGCCGAACCGGGCAGACGAAGCGCACCACTGGCTTGGTGCGGGAAGCAGGAACAGGCCGGACCGGGCTGACGATGCGCACCACAGGCTTGGTGCGAGGGGCAGGAACATGCCGGACCGGGCTGGCGACGCGCACCACAGGCTCGGTGCGAGGGGCAGGAACAGGCCGGACCGGGCTGACGACGCGCACCACAGGCTTGGTGCGGGGAGCAGGGACGGGCCGAACCGGGCTGACGAAGCGCACCACTGGCTTGGTGCGGGGAGCAGGAACAGGCTGGACCGGGCTGACGACGCGCACCACAGGCTTGGTGCGAGGGGCAGGAACATGCCGGACCGGGCTGGCGACGCGCACCACAGGCTCGGTGCGAGGGGCAGGAACATGCCGGACCGGGCTGGCGACGCGCACCACAGGCTCGGTGCGAGGGACAGGAACAAGCCGGACCGTACTGGGGACACACACCACTGGCCCTACGCGGGGATCAGGAACGGGCCGGACTGGACTGGCAACACACCCCAGTAACTCTCGCCGTGCCTCTACATTCTCCTTCCCCCTGGTGACCAGTGACTCCCGTAACCTGGCGGCCTCCTTTCCCAACCCGCTGAACCACTCTATCCCGGCCTCCTGCTGCCCCGTCGTCCACGGCGTGAGCCCCCCCCCCCCTAAAAAAATTCTGGGCGTCTCTCCTCCCCGTGGGCCAGGCCTCCATGGCTCTCGCCAGACTCTCGCTCCTCTGCTCCAAAGTCCAGCCTCTCTCCTCCTCCCGCGGCTTGACCCAGTCAAGGTTGATATCCTTTAGAGCCCTCTCTGGCGTTGGCTCCTGGACACGCTGCTTGGTCCAGTGATGGTGGGATCTTCTGTCACGAACGTCGGAGGAAGTGGACCAATGCGCAGCGTGATAAGTGAACATACTTTTTTATTAGTGATGATCACACGAACAAAACAACAAACGATACGAAACGTGAAGTCCTTGGTTACAATACAAACCATACGGAACAAGATCCCACAAACACTGTGGAAAAACAGGCTACCTAAATATGGTTCCCAATCAGAGACAACAAGCAACAGCTGATTCACGTTGCCTCTGATTGAGAACCACACCGGCCAACATACAAACAAACGAACTAGACAATCACCCTAGCACACAAAACACATAGAAACCACACACCCTGGCTCAACATAACAGAGTCCCAGAGCCAGGGCGTGACATATATGACCGTCACAAGACACGGTCATGGTTCTACACAGATAGACAAGAGGTCACGGTCATAAACTGATACCGTGGGATAATTGGTGATGGTCATGTAGCCTCAGATTAGCAATTACAGTACGTTTAGTAAAGGTCACAAACAGATAAGTGATCATGCTCATAAACAGTAGTACTAATGATACCAATGGTTCAAACAGTAGACCTATACAGCCTCAAGAGTATACAATAAAAGGTAATTATCATTATCATCATGAGACCAGAGGGTCAATGCAGAAATTATTGTTCATTCCAGTATGACGCTTTCACATAGTGAACAAGATATATTTGTTATCATAGCACTCCATTTTGAAATCCACAATTGGTAGCCTAGTGGTTAAGCGCTAGGTTACCAATCCCCGAGCCGATGAGGTGAAAAATCTGTCGATGTGCCCTTGAGCACGGCACTTAACCCTAATTGGCGCATGGCACTTAACCCGAGTGGCGCAGTAGTCTAAGGCACTGCAGCGCAGTGCTAGCTGGGCCACTAGAGATCCTGGTTCGAATCCAGGCTCTGTCGTAGCCGGCCGCGACCGGGAGACCCATGGGGCTGCGCAAAATTGGCCCTGCGTCGTCCAGGATAGGGGAAGGAATGGCCGGCAGGGATGTAGCTCAGTTGGTAGAGCATGGCGTTTGCAACGCCAGGGTTGGGGGCCAGTATGAACAAAAAAAATAAAACATTATAATAATTATGCACTCACTAACTGTAAGTCGCTCTGGATAAGAGCGTCTGCTAAATGACTAAAATGTAAATGTAATTGCTCCTGTAAGTTGCTCTGGATAAGAACGTCTGCTAAATGACTATACTGTACAACAAAAAAACTGTCAACGGCAGGGAATTCGTAAAATAACATACAGTGCATTCGGAAAGTATTCAGACCACTTGACTTTTTCCACATTTTGTGACGTTACAGCCTTATTCTAAAATTGATTAACTTGTTTTTTTCCCCTCATCAATCTACACACAATACCCCATAATGGCAAAGCAAAAACAGGTTTTTAGAAATGTTTGCAAATGTATTAAAAATAAACAACTGAAATATTATATTTACATAAGTATTCAGACCCTTTACTCTTTACTTTACCCTTTACTTTAGCACCTTTGGCAGCGATTACAGCCTCGAGTCTTCTTGAGAATGACGCTACAAGCTTGGCACACCTGTATTTGGGGAGTTTCTCCCATTCTTCTCTGCAGATCCTCTCAAGCTCTGTCAGGTTGGATGGGGAGCGTTGCTGCACAGCTATTTTCAGGTCCCTCCAGAGATGTTCGATCGGGTTCAAGTCCGGGCTCTGGCTGGGCCACTCAAGGACATTCAGAGACTTGTCCCAAAGCCACTCCTGTGTTGTCTTGGCTGTGTGCTTAGGGTCATTGTCCTGTTGGAAGGTGAACCTTCGCCCCAGTCTGAGGTCCTGAGTGCTCTGGAGTAGGTTTTCATTAAGGATCTCTCTGTATTTTGCTCCGTTCATCTTTGCCTCGATCCTGACTAGTCTCTCAGTCCCTGCCACTGAAAAACATCCCCACAGCATGATGCTGCCACCACCATGCTTCACCGTAGGGATGGTGCCAGATTTCCGCCAGACGTGACGCTTGGCATTCATCTTCAATCTTGGTTTTATCAGACCAGAGAATCTTGTTTCTTATGGACTGAGAGTCTTTAGGTGCCTATTGGCAAACTCCAAGCGGGCTGTCATGTCCCTTTTACTGAGGAGTGGCTTCAGTCTGGCCACTCTACCATAAAGGCCTGATTGGTGGAGTGCTGCAGAGATGGTTGTCCTTCTGGAAGGTTCTCCCATCTCCACAAAGGAACTCTGGAGCTCTGTCAGAGTGATCACGGGTTCTTGGTCACCTCCCTGACCAAGGCACTTCTCCCCCGATTGCTCAGTTTGGCCGGGCAGCCAGCTCTAGGAAGAGTCTTGGTGGTTCCAAACTTCTTCCATTTATGAATGATTGAGGCCACTGTGTTCTTGGGGACCTTCAATGCTGCAGAAATGTTTTGGTACCCTTCTCCAGATCTGTGCCTCGATACAATCCTGTCTCGGAGCTCTACGGACAATACCTTTGGCCTCATGGCTTGGTTTTTGCTCTGACGTGCACTGTCAACTGTGGAACCTTATACAGTTATGGAAAAAAGTATTTGATCCCCTGCTGATTTTGTACGTTTGCCCACATACAAAGAAATGATCAGTCTATCATTTTAATGGTAGGTTTATTTGAACAGTGAGAGACAGAATAACAACAAAAAAATCCAGAAAAACGAATGTAGAAAATGTAATAAATTGATTCACATTTTAATTAGGGAAATAAGTATTTGACCCCTCTGCAAAACATTACTTAGTACTTGGTGGCAAAACCCTTGTTGGCAATCACAGAGGTCAGACGTTTCTTGTAGTTGGCCACCAGGTTAGCACACATTTCAGGAGGGATTTTGTTCCACTCCCCTTTGCAGATCTTCTCCAAGTCATTAAGGTTTCGAGGCTGACGTTTGGCAACTCGAACCTTCAGCTCCCTCCACAGATTTTCTATGGGATTAAGGTCTGGAGACTGGCTAGGCCACTCCAGGACCTTAATGTGCTTCTTCTTGAGCCACTCCTTTGTTGCCTTGGCCGTGTGTTTTGGGTCATTGTCATGCTGGAATACCCATCCACGACCCATTTTCAATGCGCTGGCTGAGGGAAGGAGGTTCTCACCCAAGATTTGACGGTACATTGCCCCATCCATCGTCCCTTTGATGCGGTTAAGTTGTCCTGTCCCCTTAGCAGAAAAACACCCCCAAAGCATAATGTTTCCACCTCCATGTTTGACGGTGGGGATGGTGTTCTTGGGGTCATAGGCAGCATTCCTCCTCCTCCAAACACGGCGAGTTGAGTTGATACCAAAGAGCTTGATTTTGGTCTCATCTGACCACAACACTTTCACCCAGTTCTCCTCTGAATCATTCAGATGTTCATTGGCAAACTTCAGATGGCCCTGTATATGTGCTTTCTTGAGCAGGGGGACCTTGCGGGCGCTGCAGGATTTCAGTTCTTCACGGCGTAGTGTGTTACCAATTGTTTTCTTGGTGTCTATGGTCCCAGCTGCCTTGAGATCATTGACAAGACCCTCCCGTGTAGTTCTGGGCTGATTCCTCACCGTTCTCATGATCATTGCAACTCCACGAGGTGAGATCTTGCAAGGAGCCCCAGGCCGAGGGAGATTGACAGTTATTTTGTGTTTCTTCCATTTGCGAATAATCACACCAACTGTTGTCACCTTCTCACCAAGCTGATTGGCGATGGTCTTGTAGCCCATTCCAGCCTTGTGTAGGTCTACAATCTTGTCCCTGACATCCTTGGAGAGCTCTTTGGTCTTGGCCATGGTGGAGAGTTTGGAATCTGATTGATTGATTGCTTCTGTGGACAGGTGTCTTTTATACAGGTAACAAACTGAGATTAGGAGCACTCCCTTTAAGAGTGTGCTTCTAATCTCAGCTCGTTACCTGTATAAAAGACACCTGGGAGCCAGAAATCTTTCTGATTGAGAGGGGGTCAAATACTTATTTCCCTCATTAAAATGCAAATCAATTTATAACATTTTTGACATGCGTTTTTCTGAATTTTTTTGTTGTTATTCTGTCTCTCACTGTTCAAATAAACCTACCATTAAAATTATAGACTGATCATTTCTTTGTCAGTGGGCAAATGAACAAAATCAGCAGGGGATCAAATACTTTTGTCCCTCACTGTATAGACAGGTGTGTGCCTTTCCAAATCATGCCCAATCAATTCAATTTACCACAGGTGGACTCCAATCCAGTTGTAGAAACATCTCAAGGATGATCAATTGAAACAGGATGCACCTGAGCTCAATTTCGAGTCTCATAGCAAAGGGTCTGAATACTTATGTAAATAAGGTATTTCTGTTTTTTATATTTCTAAAAACCTGTTTTCGCTTTGTGATTATGGGGTATCGTGTGTAGATTGCTGAGGCAATTTTTTTATTTAATCAATTTTAGAATAAGGCTGTAACGTAACAAAATTTGGAAAAAGTCAAGGGCTCTGAATACTTTCCGAAGGCACTTTATTGTGAAATTTGAACTGACACAGAAGGCTGCAATAAATGCCATCTTCTGCTGACAATACAAAGTTGAATACATCCTAATCAAACTGCAAAGAAATTCAGTTTCAAACTTAATGTGTAATCTGCATATTGTTTAAGTCATTAACGCGAAGGTCAGAGTTGTGAATGCTTATCTCGGCCCTGAATCAGGCCCTTTATGAGTTTGTGCAGCAAAAGGTTAGTGAGAAGAGTGACAAGTAGCCTACAGAGATGGTCATCTGTATTCATTCTAAAGGTCACTCCAATAATTCAGTAGGGCAAGTGATGTCCCATGAATGGAAGTCTGAACATAAGAAACTGTGGTAAAGGTTGTTAGATGCAGAGTTGACTCAAGGACTGTGCACTGGAATGAACTAAGTACATCCACTACACCATTTAACTGTTCCCTTGAAATAATAATAATAATAATAATATGCCATTTAGCAGACGCTTTCATCCAAAGCAACTTACAGTCATGCGTGCATACATTTTTACGTATGGGTGGTCCCGGGGATCGAACCCACTACCCTGGCGTTACAAGCGCCATGCTCTACCAATTGAGCTACAGAGGACGATTCAATGATGTAAGACTTTTGAAGTATTAATTAGCATGAAAGTACCATGTGGTGCCAAGAAGTTGTCAAGGGAATAACGTTAGTTGAATTAGTTCACCATCTTTTGCCATGTAATTTCTAAGTAAATAGCTTGTAAATTATATGGTATCGTTCTGTGAAATAAACACGCGCTCTGACAAAAATGTAGTGGTTGGATTCTATTTTTATGGGTTGTGCACTGTGTCTAAAGCAACTTTAAGTGTTGCTTTAGAGAGGCCCAGCCATGGGAAAGAATGGTGGAGCCAGTGCCAAGTTACACATAACCACTCATACAGGGTCAGATACTATTTCATCCATCTCATGGTTACGGTAAGGGGTGGCGGTAGGAAAACCTGATCCTAGATCTGCAGTTAACTTACATTTCTAATGTAGGCTTCTTCAAGCAGAGAGAGAGTCATAGACATAGTGCCCCCATGTGGTGAGAGAATTACCTTGCAGCTCTCGTCATTGTCTGAACGGTGGGGTAGGAGGAAGGAGAAGATATTGAGGGGGCCGTCACACACCTCAGCCGTCTGGTTGACATCCTGACAGTTGGTGATCACTACGTAGTAGTGGGTGGGGACCGGAGCCGAGACTCCGGCGTACCTGGGGGTCACAGTCACATAGCGCTCACTTTAATGAAGATACAGGCACGCACAAACACCCACACCCACACACAAACAGCCACACACATACACCCCCCCTTTGCTTGACATCATGGGCAAATCAAAATAATTCAGCAAGACCTCAGAAAAAATATTGTAGACCTCCACATGTCTGGTTCATCCATGGGAGCAATTTCCAAACGCCTGAAGATACCACGTTCATCTGTACAAACAATAGTACGCAAGTATAAACACCATGGGACAGCGCAGCCGTCATACCGCTCAGGAAGGAGATGCGTTCTGTCTCCTAGAGATGAACGTACTTTGGTGCGAAAAGTGAAAATCAATCCCAGAACAACAGCATAGGACCTTGTGAAGATGCTGGAGGAAACAGGTACAAAAGTATCTATATCCACAGTAAAACGAGTCCTATATCGACATAACCTGAAAGGCCGCTCAGCAAGGAAGAAGCCACTGCTCCAAAACTGCCATAAAAAAGCCAGACTACGGTTTGCAACTGCACATGGGGACAAAGATCGTACTTTTTGGAGAAATGTCCTCTGGTCTGATGAAACAAAAATAGAACTGTTTGTCCATAATGACCATTGTTATGTTTGGAGGAAAAAGTGGGTGGCTTGCAAGCCGAAGAACACCATCCCAACCTTGAAGCACGGGGGTGGCAGCATCATGCTGTGGGGGTGCTTTGCTGCAGGAGGAACTGGTGCACTTCACAAAATAGATGGCATCATGAGGAAGGAAAATTATGTGCAACATCTCAAGACATCAGTCAGGAAGTTAAAGCTTGGTCGCAAATGGGTCTTCCAAATGGACAATGACCCCAAGCATACTTCTAAAGTTGTGGCAAAATGGCTTAAGGACAACAAAGTCAAGGTATTGGAGTGGCCATCACAAAGCCCTGACCTCAATCCTATAGAACATTTGTGGGCAGAACTGAAAAAGTGTGTGCGAGCAAGGAGGCCTACAAACCTGACTCAGTTACACCAGCTCTGTCAGGAGGAATGGGACAAAATTCACCCAACTTATTGTGGGAAGCTTGTGGAAGGCTACCCGAAACGTTTGACCCAAGTGAAACAATTTAAAGGCAATGCTACCAAATACTAATTTAGTGTATGTAAACTTCTGACCCACTGGGAATGTGATGAAAGAAATAAAAGCTGAAATAAATCATTCTCTCTACTATTATTCTGACATTTCACATTCTTAAAATAAAGTGGTGATCCTAACTGACCTAAAACAGGGAATTTTTACTAGGATTAAATGTCAGGAATTGTGAAAAACTGAGTTTAAATCTAAACTTCTGACTTCAACTGTATGTTCGCTTCGAGGCTACCAACACTGAACCATGCATGAGAGCACCAGCTGTTCTGGACGACTGTGTGATCACGCTCTCCGTAGCCAATGTGAGTAAGACCTTTAAACAGGTTAGCAGACCACCATAGTCCCTGTGCCCAAGAACGCCAAGGTAACCTGTCTAAATGACTATCGCCCCATTTAATGCTTTAATCGGCTGGTCATGGCTCACATCAATACCATCATCTCAGACACCCTGGACCCAGTCCAATTTACATACTACCCCAACAGATCCACAGATGACGCAATCTCTATTGCACGCCACACTGCCCTTTCCCACCTGGACAAAAGGAACACCTACGTGAGAATGCTGTTCATTGACTACGGCTCAGCATTCAACACCATAGTGCCCTCCAAGTTTATCACTTAACTAAGGACCCTGGGATTAAACACCTCCCTTTGCAACTAGGTCCTGGACTTCATGAAGGGCCACTCCCAGGTGGTGAGGGTAGGCAACAACACATCCGCAACACTGACCTCAACACGTGGGCCCCTCAGCGGTGCATGCTTAGTCCCCTCCACATCACTAAGGAATAATCATGGTCCACACACACCGACACAGCCGTGAAGAGGGCACAACAATTCGGCATGGGCCCTCAGATCCTAAAAACGTTATACGGCTGCACTATTGAGAGCATCTTGACTGGCTGCATCACAACTTGGTTGGTAAGTGCTTGGCATCCGACCACAATGCGCTACAGAGGGTAGTGCGTACAGCCCAGTACATCACTGGGGCCGAGCTCCCTGCCATCCAGGACCTCTATACCAGGTGGTGTCAGAGGAAGACCCTAAAAATTGTCAAAGACTCCAGCCACCCAAGTCAGACTGTTCACTCTGCTACCGCACGACAAGCGGTACTGATGCACCAGGTCTGGAACCAATAGGACCCTGAACAGCTTCTACCCCCAAGCCATAAGACTGCTAAACAGTAAGTTAAATAGTTAACCAATAGCTACTCAGACTATCTGCATTGACCCTTTTTGTACTAACTATTTTGACTCATCACATACGCTGCTGTTACTGTTTATTATCTATCCTGTTGCCTAGTCACATTACCCCTACCTATATGTACATATCTACCTCAATTACCTCGTACCCCATGCACATCGACTCGGTACTGGTACCCCGTGTATGTAGCCAAGTTATCGTTACTCATTGTGTATTTATTCCTCGTGTTATTATTTTTATATTATTTCGAATTTTTTCTCTCTGCATTGTTGTTTACACCTGTTGTTTACAAAACATGTGACAAATACAATTTGATTTGATTTGACACACACACACACAGAAACACACACAGGTGTAGACACAAAACTAAACAATCATGACCAGAGGAACCGGACCTGGTCGGTCTTATTAAACAAACACAGCGGTTACAATCAGAAGAATTGGCTCTGAACAATTCCAGAATTCAGATGCTATAATTTATGAAATATCACCCCCAAATGTATGTATGCATATGTATATTACAGTACTTTCCCATTTATCTGAACTTCAATTGCTACTAAAATGGATGGGTGTCAGTACCATATTCAGTAACCTATTCCTCCACTAGTTAGGAGGACAAGCCCATACATTTATCCTGGTGGTTATGCTTGTGACACTCATTATTTCGGTAAAAGCAGTGGCATGTATTCATGGACGCCAAGGGAAGCCAGGTACAGTGGGGCAAAAAAGTATTTAGTCAGCCACCAATTGTGCAAGTTCTCCCACTTAAAAAGATGAGAGAGGCCTGTAATTTTCATCATAGGTACACGTCAACTATGACAGACAAAATGAGAAGAAAAAAAATCCAGAAAATCACATTGTAGGATTTTTAATGAATTTATTTGCAAATTATGGTGGAAAATAAGTATTTGGTCAATAACAAAAGTTTCTCAATACTTTGTTATATACCCTTTGTTGGCAATGACACAGGTCAAATGTTTTCTGTAAGTCTTCACAAGGTTTTCACAAACTGTTGCTGGTATTTTGGCCCATTCCTCCATGCAGATCTCCTCTAGAGCGGTGATGTTTTGGGGCTGTCGCTGGGCAACACAGACTTTCAACTCCCTCCAAAGATTTTCTATGGGGTTGAGATCTGGAGACTGGCTAGGCCACTCCAGGACCTTGAAATGCTTCTTAAGAAGCCTCTCCTTCGTTGCCTGGGCGGTGTGTTTGGGATCATTGTCATGCTGAAGGACCCAGCCACGTTTCATCTTCAATGCCCTTGCTGATGGAAGGAGGTTTTCACTCAAAATCTCACGATACATGGCCCCATTCATTCTTTCCTTTACATGGATCAGTAGTCCTGGTCCCTTTGCAGAAAAACAGCCCCAAAGCATGATGTTTCCACCCCCATGCTTCACAGTAGGTATGGTGTTCTTTGGATGCAACTCAGCATTTTTTGTCCTCCAAACACGACGAGTTGAGTTTTTATCAAAAAGTTATATTTTGGTTTCATCTGACCATATGACATTCTCCCAATCCTCTTCTGGATCATCCAAATGCACTCTAGCAAACTTCAGACAGGCCTGGACATGTACTGGCTTAAGCAGGGGGACACGTTTGGCACTGCAGGATTTGAGTCCCTGGCGGCGTAGTGTGTTACTGATGGTAGGTTTTGTTACTTTGGTCCCAGTTCTCTGCAGGTCATTCACTAGGACCCCCGTGTGGTTCTGGGATTTTTGCTCACCGTTCTTGTGATCATTTTGACCCCACGGGGTGAGATCTTGCGTGGAGCCCCAGATCGAGGGAGATTATCAGTGGTCTTGTATGTCTTCCATTTCCTAATAATTGCTCCCACAGTTGATTTCTTCAAACCAAGCTGCTTACCTATTGCAGATTCAGTCTTCCCAGCCTGGTGCAGGTCTACAATTTTGTTTCTGGTGTCCTTTGACAGCTCTTTGGTCTTGGCCATAGTGGAGTTTGGAGTGTGACTGTTTGAGGTTGTGGACAGGTGTCTTTTATACTGATAACAAGTTCAAACAGGTGCCATTAATACAGGTAACGAGTGAAGGACAGAGGAGCCTCTTAAAGAAGAAGTTACAGGTCTGTGAGAGCCAGAAATCTTGCTTGTTTGTAGTTGACCAAATACTTATTTTCCACCATAATTTGCAAATAAATTCATAAAAAATCCTACAATGTGATTTTCTGGAGAAAAAAAATCTCAATTTGTCTGTCATAGTTGACGTGTACCTATGATGAAAATTACAGGCCTCTCTCATCTTTTTAAGTGGGAGAACTTGCACAATTGGTGGCTGAGTAAAATATTTTTTTCCCCACTGTATATATATATATATAATACATTTTTCATCTCTCTGTGTTTTATCATTTTCATTCAATTCGCAAGTGGCCAGGCTGAATCTATATCTCAATGCAAGGAAACAGCGCACCTCTGTCTCAGTAGCCTATGTGTAGCCCATGTATTTGATGCTGTCTGGTCAAAAAGAGTATAACATGACACATTATGGCGAGCCTGAAACTAAAGCTCTTTGGTCGAGTCCGGATCAACAAGGCTCTCGACCGGGCCGCAGTGATCAGTGTCCAGAGGCACAACGAACAGGTGAATAAAAACAGAGACATTCTGAAGAAACTGTACCTGGGATAGCAGGAGCAAGCCTTCAGGGGGTATGACGAGTCAGCAACAAGCCTTAACAAAAGTAATTTTGTAGAACTTGTCAATGCATTTGCAGAGTTCGATACTGCCATGGCTGAACACCTTGAGACAAGCACCATATTTACAGGTACAGTGGGGGAAAAAAGTATTTAGTCAGCCACCAATTGTGCAAGTTCTCCCACTTAAAAAGATGAGAGAGGCCTGTAATTTTCATCATAGGTACACGTCAACTATGACAGACAAATTGAGGAAAAGAAATCCAGAAAATCACATTGTTGGATTTTTTATGAATTTATTTGCAAATTATGGTGGAAAATAAGTATTTGGTCACCTACAAACAAGCAAGATTTCTGGCTCTCACAGACCTGTAACTTCTTCTTTAAGAGGCTCCTCTGTCCTCCACTCGTTACCTGTATTAATGGCACCTGTTTGAACTTGTTATCAGTATAAAAGACACCTGTCCACAACCTCAAACAGTCACACTCCAAACTCCACTATGGCCAAGACCAAAGAGCTGTCAAAGGACACCAGAAACAAAATTGTAGACCTGCACCAGGCTGGGAAGACTGAATCTGCAATAGGTAAGCAGCTTGGTTCGAAGAAATCAACTGTGGGAGCAATTCTTAGGAAATGGAAGACATACAAGACCACTGATAATCTCCCTCGATCTGGGGCTCCACGCAAGATCTCACCCCGTGGGGTCAAAATGATCACAAGAACGGTGAGCAAAAATCCCAGAACCACACGGGGGTCCTAGTGAATGACCTGCAGAGAACTGGGACCAAAGTAACAAAACCTACCATCAGTAACACACTACGCCGCCAGGGACTCAAATCCTGCAGTGCCAAACGTGTCCCCCTGCTTAAGCCAGTACATGTCCAGGCCTGTCTGAAGTTTGCTAGAGTGCATTTGGATGATCCAGAAGAGGATTGGGAGAATGTCATATGGTCAGATGAAACCAAAATATAACTTTTTGATAAAAACTCAACTCGTCGTGTTTGGAGGACAAAAAATGCTGAGTTGCATCCAAAGAACACCATACCTACTGTGAAGCATGGGGGTGGAAACATCATGCTTTGGGGCTGTTTTTCTGCAAAGGGACCAGGACTACTGATCCATGTAAAGGAAAGAATGAATGGGGCCATGTATCGTGAGATTTTGAGTGAAAACCTCCTTCCATCAGCAAGGGCATTGAAGATGAAACGTGGCTGGGTCCTTCAGCATGACAATGATCCCAAACACACCGCCCAGGCAACGAAGGAGAGGCTTCTTAAGAAGCATTTCAAGGTCCTGGAGTGGCCTAGCCAGTCTCCAGATCTCAACCCCATAGAAAATCTTTGGAGGGAGTTGAAAGTCTGTGTTGCCCAGCGACAGCCCCAAAACATCACCGCTCTAGAGGAGATCTGCATGGAGGAATGGGCCAAAATACCAGCAACAGTTTGTGAAAACCTTGTGAAGACTTACAGAAAACATTTGACCTGTGTCATTGCCAACAAAGGGTATATAACAAAGTATTGAGAAACTTTTGTTATTGACCAAATACTTATTTTCCACCATAATTTGCAAATAAATTCATTAAAGATTCTACAATGTGATTTTCTGGATTTTTTTCCCTCATTTTGTCTGTCATAGTTGACGTGTACCTATGATGAAAATTACAGGCCTCTCTCATCTTTTTAAGTGGGAGAACTTGCACAATTGGTGGCTGACTAAATACTTTTTTCCCCCACTGTATGTCAAACACCATACAAAAGGACATCATTCATAGCATCGCAGACATGATACAAAGTGAAATTGACAGTGAGACCAGTCAAGGTGGATGACACCACAGACATATCCTGCAAATTCAATTGACAATCATAGCGCGCTATGTCAATGATAAGGGTGTTATATGTGAGAGATTCCTGGGGTTTTTCGATGTGAGCGCAGAGAGAAACGCAGAGGCGATCACCGTTGTAATGGAAACTATCGACAAATACAACCCAGCAGCCAAACTCATCTGCCAGACTTACGACGGGGCAAGCTGCATGAGTGGGCAGCGAGGTGGGGTTCAGGCACTCATGAAAACCCACTGTCAATATGCGCTGTTCATTCATTGTTATGCCCACAAACTAAACTTAGTTTTAGCAAAGGGGACAAGCAATATTCAAGATGATAATTATTATTATTTTTATTAACCTTTTTAGCTGGTCATGCAAAAAGACAGCCATGCTTACTGAGGCTGTGCCACTCGTTGGAACTTCAAAAGTAGAGCAGTGCATGCTGTGCACGAAGGCCAGAGATCATTGGATATTGTTTTTGATCGGATCATTACTGAGCCCGGCTGGGATAAAGATTAAATTGCCCAGAGCAGTGCTCTGAAACAGAAACTGAAGGAGTTCATGTTCACTTTTTTACTTGGTGTTTTCAAGGCCATTTTTGGACTCACAGAACTGCTGTTTCAGGCCCTGCAGAGCAAATCTCTTGATGTAAGACATTATTGTGTATGGGTTGATAGTACACTGAATGCATTGAAAGCCATTAGAAGTGATGCGAAGTTTCAAAGGATATATGACAACACTATCCAGATTGATGGAATGGAAGATGAAAGACGCAAAAGACTCAGCCGTGGCTGGGATGACTATGAGCAGGGACTCAACCACCGGGACAACGCTGACAATGACCCAGGCTTCCTGGACAGATACCAACAACTGTACTTCAAAATACTCTATGGAATCATACTACACATGACCCAGAGGTTTGCTGACATGAAGAGCCTCGACTTCTTCTGTGTTCTTGATCATGGGTCATTTCCCGAGTACTCCAAGCAAGAGGGATTTCCTGACAGAGTACTCACACAGCTGTTCCAGACGTACCCTTTCTTTGACAACCAGAGGTTGAAAAATTAGCTGTAGGTAGTCTATGCTGATGCCTCCTTCCACAAACCACCAGGTGAGCTGCTGCAATCACTCGTGAAAAATTACCTGACCACCACTTTACCTGAGGTATGCAAGCTCCTGAAACGGATGCTCACCATCCCTGTTACAAGTACATCAGCTGAAAGGTCATTTTCCTGTCTGAAAAGGATTAAAACCTACCTACATAATAGCTGTGAACAAGAGAGACTCACGCATTTGGCAGAAATGTCAATGGAAACTTGTGTGCTGCATGAACTTAAGTCCAGTGGAGTACTGTATGACATAGTCATTTACCATTTTGCCAGCATGAAAGAGAGGAAGGTGAGTCAACAAGTAGGGTGAGTCAACATCTGTTTTTAAAGTTCCATTGTATTAGACTAGGCATATACTTGATGTTGTTGAAATGTTGTTGTTTAAATGTCTAAATGCTTGTAATTTGTGTACCATGTTATTCATTGTTTTAGCTCGGTTTATTTCATGTTTGCTTGGTAATACTTAACTATTTATCTAGTCTAGACTGTGGGCATTTATTCTACCCAGGTTTATTCTAACTTGCATATATTATTGTGATGAGTCAGTGTGAATGTGCTCGTTGAGATGCTGCCTCCGCCAGAGAGGCACTGTCCAACTGGAGGTGCTGATAGTGGAGGCTGCGCTCTCCGGTAACTCTCCGTGGTCCTGAATCAATAGTTAGAGCGCTCCGAGTCTGTTTTAATGCACATCTTGGGGTTACCACAAGTTAACATCAGTATTCCGGGGGCTTCTCCCTAAAGTTAGCCTACAACATGTCAAAGTTGAAGTGCATTGTAGTTGTATTTCCCATTAGGCTATTTTAATCTTGCTGCTTCAGAAACATTTTAGTAAGAATGTTATTATAACTTGAGCAAACCGATGGTGAAATTAACTTTTCCAAATAACTTTAACTTGAATTTGACCATGCTGTGTAGGTCATGTAACTGTTTGTTGCATGCAATATTATCTTTGTGGACTTAAAACAGGACAAAAGTTACTCTCCGGTTTTAGCTGTGATGAAACACAAATGTATGTGGTTGAATTTATTCTGCCACTGTGTGACACTTGTACTTTGGAACTGTCTGTGAAACAATGTAGGCTATGGCTTCTTGGCCTTATATCAGCTATAAAGGTGCCATATAAATGTATTTCTAATGGGTTATAGAGAAAACAACGCAAAAAAAATATTTGCCTGGCTTGGCTTCCCCATTGATTTTACCCACGCATCGCTGCTGGGGGAAAGGAGATCTCAAAGGTAATTATACCAGCCAGTAAAAAAAAAAAAATACATCCAAATGAATCCAGATCACTCCAATTGAACAGCCATAACTATTTGAACATAAAAATACAATAACACAAAACATGATCCCCTTTGTTTGTAACATCTTACAAACACAGGTCAAAGGGCATCATCTTGACCTGTCACTAGGGCTGGGAATTGCTAGGGACCTCACGATACGATATTATCACGATACTTAGGTGCCGTTACGATATGTTTTGTGATTCTCAAGATCCTCACGATACTATATGTATTGCGATTCGATACTGCGATTTTATTGCGATTTGATGTTATGAACATATTGATCACCATATGTCTGCTGCAGAGACACAAGAGAGAGCATGAGAAAACACATTTTGATCAGTCAGGGAATTGAAAGGGCTGAAAACATGTTGGCACACTATTTAAAAAGAAGACGGAGAACAAACTATAGGTTGAAAAATACTGGAGCTTTGGAGCAGGTACAGCCGACTAGCGCTAGCTAACGCTAACTACAGTAGCAAAATCAACACTTAGAGTCAAATATCGATATAATATCGTCCCAAAATAATATTGCGATATGTGAGTCGTTTCAGGAAACTAGGCGTATGTCGCACTTCACAGGAGAGGCATTTGAACGTAAACATTAATTTTTTATCAAAATGCGTTTTTTGGCAGAAATGCCTTCTGGAACATGTGAACTTTCATGTGCTTTAATAACAAACTTGTATTCCATCCGTAAATACGAATAAAAGTGTTAAATTACGAGCCTAGTTGGTTTAGCCACGGAAAAAGACAGGAACCTTCCCGCTAGCCATGATTGGCTGAGATAATGAATGGGCTGGACATGCCGGGAGATGAGTTTGGATTGGTCTGCCATGTAGCATGCTTCTGTATATAACGTGAGCTGCTCAGTATGTGTTGAGAGTCCTTTCTACCGCGCCATTTTTGAAAGATATAACGTTAGTTATAAAAGTTTTGCTACTTTTCTCAACAACATTGATGCACTGAATTTAGCAGGCGCTATCGACAGATCAGTTGGAAAAGTGATGGGCTACTTTCTGCACACACCACGTCAGTGTGAACCGGAGTGACTTGACATAACGCTGGCCAAACAAGATGTAGCTACAAACAAACAAAATAGTTAAATGGTTCCAGTCTGCCATGAAGCGTTCATCCATGTAAGAGTCTAGCTGCATTTTCAGATATTATACGTTTCTAATTTTGTCAAAAAGTAGTTTTCCTTGCAAGTTAAAGCGTACTGTTAGCTAGCTAGCGAACGTTAGCTTGTTGGCTCGCTAGCTAACATTACGTGTATGATCTGTGTAGTAATATTATTCGAATCAGAAAACAATTTGCATTGCTAGTTATAGTCTAATGTTAGCTAGCTAACATTGAACCTATTTAGCTTTAGCTACCTGCAGATTCATACTACAGCTATGACCATGTTTGTATTGGTAGTAGTACGAGTTGGTATTATGCCGGTTCATTGTTTAGCTAGCTAGCTACATGTCTAGACAAAAGACTCCACTTCGCCAGATGATTACATGACCCATCAAGTTAGCCAGGTGTGTCTGGGGGTGATTAAGGCCATCTATTGTATTTCATGAACATGTGTACATGTCTAGACAATAATGACCCATCCACTTAGCTAGGTGTGGCTGGGGGGTTGTTATAGCATTTCCTTCACATGACCCATCAATTTAGTCTGTCACACTTAAGGCTTGCACACATCGCACCAAATGTGGATATAGCGTTCATCTGCCGATCATGTTTTAGGGACTACCCGCTGTAGATGTAAAATCGGTACGCACTCGGTTCGCAAGTTACTTTCAGAGGTGCTAAGTACTCTCGGCCAGCAACCACTACTGGGGATATCTGAGCCCTTACTCTTTGATTTTCACAGTGGTGTCCCGGAGGCCATCGTAGTTGTTGTCAAAGATGGGACCGGTGACCACGTTTATTCCGTTATTCTCCTCTGCATAGCGCTTGAGAAGAGTCCCCTGGAGGTAGCTCCATACTTCTGCAGAGTTTAAGGGAAAAGAGAACAAGGGAACAAGACAATCAACAATTGGAGAACCAAATCAAATGTTTTGTAACATTGTGTAAATTACCTGTTGCATGAATGCGTTTAGGTCATCAACTGAAATGAATGCTTATATCCAGCCTTGAAAAATGCTCTCTATACTGCATCTGTGTATAGCATTTTGTGAATAAACGTTATTAATGTGCTATTGCAGCATTTGAATTATGGCAGGGCACCTTATAAGCATTTCAAAAGTCAAAGGCTGCTGGTCTGATCTTGATGCTAATTCCTTCAAGAGGAAGTAAAAGTCATTTCCCACACTAAAAGTCCCCAGACAAGGGAACTGCCCTTCACATCCTTTTCTACAGTCTTTCACCACACCAGGCTTCACTGGCCTGGACTGAGGCTGTCTTTGTATGTGTGTGTGTGTGTGTGTGGGGTGGGGGGGGGGGGGGGGGGGGGGGGACAATGGGTGTCAGCCTGTCCCTTCTCTCCCAGACCTGAGGTCATCCGACTAGCCTCCCTCCTCACTCCTCCTCCCACCTCTCCCTCCACACATCAGAATGGGCAGTCCAAGCAAAGATGCAACACAAGAGTCCAGAGGGCCACATGTACTATATGATTTGTAACTGTAATAGCTTTGGAAGGAAGCATCTACCAGAGAAAAACTGAAAGTGAGCAACAATGATATCCTTTGAGGACCTACAGTATAACAACAACCTTCTTAACAAAACGCAGTGACAGATTTATGAAGTATTTGAACCAGTATTTTCAAAGGAGTTGGAAAAATATACACTGCTCAAAAAAATAAAGGGAACACTTAAACAACACAATGTAAGTAAATCACACTTCTGTGAAATCAAACTGTCCACTTAGGAAGCAACACTGATTGACAATACATTTCACATGCTGTTGTGCAAATGGAATAGACAACAGGTGGAAATTATAGGCAATTAGCAAGACACCCCAAATAAAGGAGTGGTTCTGCAGGTGGTGACCACAGACCACTTCTCAGTTCCTATGCTTCCTGGCTGATGTTTTGGTCACTTTTGAATGCTGGCGGTGCTTTCACTCTAGTGGTAGCATGAGACAGAGTCTACAAACCACACAAGTGGCTCAGGTAGTGCAGCTCATCCAGGATGGCACATCAATGCGAGCTGTGGCAAGAAGGTTTGCTGTGTCTGTCAGTGTAGTGTCCAGAGCATGGAGGCACTACCAGGAGACAGGCCAGTACATCAGGAGACGTGGAGGAGGCTGTAGGAGGGCAACAACCCAGCAGCAGGACCGCTACCTCCGCTTTTGTGCAAGGAGGAGCAGGAGGAGCACTGCCAGAGCCCTGCAAAATGACCTCCAGCAGGCCACAAATGTGCATGTGTCTGCTCAAACGGTCAGAAACAGACTCCATGAGGGTGGTATGAGGGCCCGACGTCCACAGGTGGGGGTTGTGCTTACAGCCCAACACCGTGCAGGACGTTTGGCATTTGCCAGAGAACACCAAGATTGGCAAATTCGCCACTGGCGCCCTGTGCTCTTCACAGATGAAAGCAGATTCACACTGAGCACATGTGACAGACGTGACAGAGTCTGGAGACGCCGTGGAGAACGTTCTGCTGCCTGCAACATCCTCCAGCATGACCGGTTTGGCGGTGGGTCAGTCATGGTGTGGGGTGGCATTTCTTTGGGGGGCCGCACAGCCCTCCATGTGCTCGCCAGAGGTAGCCTGACTGCCATTAGGTACCGAGATGAGATCCTCAGACCCCTTGTGAGACCATATGCTGGTGCGGTTGGCCCTGGGTTCCTCCTAATGCAAGACAATGCTAGACCTCATGTGGCTGGAGTGTGTCAGCAGTTCCTGCAAGAGGAAGGCATTGATGCTATGGACCGCCCGTTCCCCAGACCTGAATCCAATTGAGCACATCTGGGACATCATGTCTCGCTCCATCCACCAACGCCACGTTGCACCACAGACTGTCCAGGAGTTGGCGGATGCTTTAGTCCAGGTCTGGGAGGAGATCCCTCAGGAGACTCATTTTGACTTGTTTTAAGGACATTACATCAACGTTGGATCAGCCTGTAGTGTGGTTTTCCACTTTAATTTTGAGGGTGACTCCAAATCCAGATAAATGTGATTTCCATTGATAATTTTTGTGTGATTTTGTTGTCAGCACATTCAACTATGTAAAGAAAAAAGTATTTAATAAGATTATTTCATTCATTCAGATCTAGGATGTGTTGTTTAAGTGTTCCCTTTATTTTTATGAGCAGTGTAAATAAAAATAAAAATAAATGATGTATAGATATTCAAATTCATATAAGTAGATATAAATACATTAATACTCACTTTTAAATGCAGGGTACATGGGAACGGTGTTTGTGATCAGTGATGCATCATATTTTGATTCAGAAGACATGGCCAGCTCTAGCATAAAAAATACAAATATATACTTTCATTTACCTCCCATTTAGACCTGGAACAAAAACCTCCATACCCTGTAGCTCCCCAAGACCAGGGTATTCTTCATTAAGCACATAACTGAGTGAAAAAGGAGGTACTGTCTGAACTTGTCCAATAAGAAATGCTTGTTTTCGTTTTGCATTGCAAAATGTTTTGCTTCAGTGTGCCTTAATGAACATGACCAAGGGTGGGCTAGTGTGCGACCCACCTGGTGGATAGAGGAAGCCATAGGAGCCATCGGTGTGCTGGCTGTATGTGGTGCAGGCCTGGCTGTGTTCTGGAGCGACCCGCATGTCTGCTCTCACACACTCAATCACTGGCTCAGGCTCAGGGAGGGGCTTGACTTCTTCCTGGAAGGGAATATGTTGTCATTAGTAACACATCGTGAAATCCCATCGCGAAATGAGAGAAAACCGGTATACAAACAGCCAGTGTTAACAAACACCCAATACAGTGTTGCTGTATGTGATTGGGGCCATGTCATTAGTTGGTATTTGTGTGCTGTATCGTGTCTGGGTCTGTATAGGGTTCTGTTAGGTTAGTGTTACGCAAGTACCTATCCAGGTTCTCTCCCCCCAATAAAACAAAACCAGGCTCATTTTAATATAAAATGCAATTAACCAGTTGAGTCAAAGACCAAAATAACATTTACGATCTCCCAACAGGAGTACTAATTGTTTTCACACATGCTACTCCTTGCAACCACTCAAGTAAACAGAGACATTTCAAAAGAGCTTTGGAAAGATATGACCTAATGCTTCCCAAATGATGGCACTGGACCGACTGGTAGGTCATTGCCAGTCCCTGACCAAAGACTGGGCTGTGGCTATGATCTTTTTGTGTGTGTCTATTCTGTGGATAACAAGAAAACTAGAAAAGCCTTATGTGGGTCACAATTCAAAAACCGTTCGGCAACCAATGATCAACGAATCAACATGACCCAGGTCTGAGGACAAGCTCTCAAATCATATGGATCGACTCATTAAATTACTACTACTAGTTCCATTTGTTGTGGTCCATGTGATGAATAGCCTACTTGTTTGGGCACTGTGAAGGACGTCCATAGGGGCATGGAGAGCTCCTGACTGTATCCACTGATGAAGTCACTGTGGAGGAGGAGGCTATACGTCGTTTGGAAAAGAACCGCTGGTCGACCGAAGGGGAGGTGTGTTGCGTCTGTGAAAATACCAGTTAATCAAGCACGTAGGGCAGTAGTTAACCTGGGCTCAAAATCAGTCACTTTTTTATTTGAATTCTACATTAGGCTATGTGAATATACAGTGGGGGAAAAAAGTACTTAGTCAGCCACCAATTGTGCAAGTTCTCCCACTGTCACGCCCTGGCTCTGGGGACTCTTGTATGTTGAGCCAGGGTGTTAGTTTCTTTGTGTAGTGTCTATGTTTCGTTTTCTATGTTCTGTTCTAGGTTATGTGTTTCTACGTAGGCAGCCTGTTGTGCACTTGTGTTTTGTGGGATCTTGTTCCGTGTAGGTTTGTGTATGTGACCGAGGACTTCACGTTTCGTATTATTGTTTTGTATTTTGTATTTTGTATCGTGTTGCTAGTACACTATTAAAGAGATGTACGCATATCACGCTGCGCCTTGGTCCACTCATTATGACGATTGTGACAGAAGATCCCACCAATACAGGACCAAGCAGCGTGTCCAGGAGCAAACGCCGGAGGTAACGTTAGTGGATGTCCTCCTCGGTTGGGGGCAGATCACGGAGGAGGAGGCCGTCCGTTACCGGAGGGCGATGAAGGGGGAGACCCAGGCAGGAGAGGAGAAGCGGCGCCAACCGGGCCGTCGTCGGACAGGTGAGAGGCACCCCCAATAAAAAAAATTGGGGGGGGCACACGGCATGGACGACGGGGCTGCTGGAGGCAGATAAAGGGCGAGTTTGTGGACGAGGAGAGAAGGCCACCAGGTTACGGGGGCCATTGGTCAGTAGAGGGAAGGAGAGTGTAGAGGCACGGCGAGATGTAATGAGGTGTGTTACCAGTCCGGTCCGGCCCGTTCCTGATCCCCACACAAGGCCAGTGATGTGTGTTCCCAGTACGGTCCGGCCTGTTCCTGTCCCTCGCACCAAGCCTGTGAAGCGGGTTGCCAGCCCGGCCCGGCCTGTTCCTGCCCCTCGCACCAAGCCTGTGGTGCGCGTCGCTAGCCCGGCCCGGCCCGGCCTGTTCCTGCCCCTCGTACCAAGCCTGTGGTGGGCGTCGCTAGCCCGGCCCGGCCGGTTCCTGCCCCTCGCACCAAGCCTGTGGTGCGCGTCGCCAGCCCGGCCCGGCCTGTTCCTGCCCCTCGCACCAAGCCAATGGTACGCGTCGCCAGCCCGGCCCGGCCTGTTCCTGCCCCTCGCACCAAGCCAATGGTGCGCGTCGCCAGCCCGGCCCGGCCTGTTCCTGCTCCCCGCACCAAGCCTGTGGTGCGCGTCGCCAGCCCGGCCCGGCCTGTTCCTGCCCCTCGCACCAAGCCAATGGTGCGCGTCGTCAGCCCGGTCCGGCCTGTCCCTGCTCCCCGCACCAAGCCAGTGGTGCGCTTCGTCAGCCCGGTCCGGCCCGTCCCTGCTCCCCGCACCAAGCCAATGGTGCGCGTCGCCAGCCCGGCCCGGCCTGTTCCTGCTCTCCGCACCAAGCCAATGGTGCGCGTCGCCAGCCCGGCCCGGCCTGTTCCTGCTCCCCGCACCAAGCCTATGGTGCGCGTCGCCAGCCCGGCCCGGCCTGTTCCTGCTCCCCGTACCAAGCCAGTGGTGCGCTTCGTCAGCCCGGTCCGGCCCATTCCTGCTCCCCGCACCAAGCCAATGGTGCGCGTCGTCAGCCCGGTCCGGCCTGTTCCTGCTCCCCGCACCAAGCCAGTGGTGCGCTTCGTCAGCCCGGTCCGGCCCGTTCCTGCTCTCCGCACCAAGCCTGTGGTGCGCGTCGTCAGTCCGGCACAGCCCGTGCCTGTTTCACCGGTGCCTGGTCAGGTACAGGTCGGCTGCTCCACACCGGAGCCTAAGCAATCCGCGCCACCGATGTCCAGTCCAGCTCCAGCCAGCGGGGCCAGACCAGACCAGGGGCGCTACGGGGGGGTTGTTAGAGGGTGGTGGTCACGCCCGGAGCCGGATCCGCCTCCGAGGTGGAATGCCCACCCGGCCCCTCCCCTGTTGGGTTTATGTTGGCGCGGTCGCAGTCCGCGCCTTTGGGGGGGGGGGTACTGTCACGCCCTGGCTCTGGGGACTCTTGTATGTTGAGCCAGGGTGTTAGTTTCTTTGTGTAGTGTCTATGTTTCGTTTTCTATGTTCTGTTCTAGGTTATGTGTTTCTATGTTGGCCGGGGTGGTTCTCAATCAGAGGCAACGTGAATCAGCTGTTGCTTGTTGTCTCTGATTGGGAACCATACTTAGGCAGCCTGTTGTGCACTTGTGTTTTGTGGGATCTTGTTCCGTGTAGGTTTGTGTATGTGACCGAGGACTTCACGTTTCATTTTGTTGTTTTGTATTTTGTATTGTGTTGCTAGTACACTATTAAAGAGATGTACGCATATCACGCTGCGCCTTGGTCCACTCATTATGACGATCGTGACACCCACTTAAAAAGATGAGAGAGGCCTGTAATTTTCATCATAGGTACACGTCAACTATGACAGACAAATTGAGGAAAATAAATCCAGAAAATCACATTGTAGGATTTTTTATGAATTTATTTGCAAATTATGGTGGAAAATAAGTATTTGGTCACCTACAAACAAGCAAGATTTCTGGCTCTCACAGACCTGTAACTTCTTCTTTAAGAGGCTCCTCTGTCCTCCACTCGTTACCTGTATTATTGGCACCTGTTTGAACTTGTTATCAGTATAAAAGACACCTGTCCACAACCTCAAACAGTCACACTCCAAACTCCACAATGGCCAAGACCAAAGAGCTGTCAAAGGACACCAGAAACAAAATTGTAGACCTGCACCAGGCTGGGAAGACTGAATCTGCAATAGGTAAGCAGCTTGGTTTGAAGAAATCAACTGTGGGAGCAATTATTAGGAAATGGAAGACATACAAGACCACTGATAATCTCCCTCGATCTGGGGCTCCACGCAAGATCTCACCCTGTGGGGTCAAAATGATCACAAGAACGGTGAGCAAAAATCCCAGAACCACACGGGGGGACCTAGTGAATGACCTGCAGAGAGCTGGGACCAAAGTAACAAAGCCTACCATCAGTAACACACTACGCCGCCAGGGACTCAAATCCTGCAGTGCCAGACGTGTCCCCCTGCTTAAGCCAGTACATGTCCAGGCCCGTCTGAAGTTTGCTAGAGTGCATTTGGATGATCCAGAAGAGGATTGGGAGAATGTCATATGGTCAGATGAAACCAAAATAGAACTTTTTGGTAAAAACTCAACTCGTCGTGTTTGGAGGACAAAGAATGCTGAGTTGCATCCAAAGAACACCATACCTACTGTGAAGCATGGGGGTGGAAACATCATGCTTTGGGGCTGTTTTTCTGCAAAGGGACCAGGACGACTGATCCGTGTAAAGGAAAGAATGAATGGGGCCATGTATCGTGAGATTTTGAGTGAAAACCTCCTTCCATCAGCAAGGGCATTGAAGATGAAATGTGGCTGGGTCTTTCAGCATGACAATGATCCCAAACACACCGCCCGGGCAACGAAGGAGTGGCTTCGTAAGAAGCATTTCAAGGTCCTGGAGTGGCCTAGCCAGTCTCCAGATCTCAACCCCATAGAAAATCTTTGGAGGGAGTTGAAAGTCCGTGTTGCCCAGCGACAGCCCCAAAACATCACTGCTCTAGAGGAGATCTGCATGGAGGAATGGGCCAAAATACCAGCAACAGTGTGTGAAAACCTTGTGAAGACTTACAGAAAACGTTGGACCTGTGTCATTGCCAACAAAGGGTATATAACAAAGTATTGAGAAACTTTTGTTATTGACCAAATACTTATTTTCCACCATAATTTGCAAATAAATTCATAAAAAATCCTACAATGTGATTTTCTGGAGAAAAAAAATCTCATTTTGTCTGTCATAGTTGACGTGTACCTATGATGAAAATTACAGGCCTCTCTCATCTTTTTAAGTGGGAGAACTTGCACAATTGGTGGCTGACTAAATACTTTTTTCCCCCACTGTATAGTAGTCTTTTTATTTTATATTGTCTAAATATTGCAATGTTGTCTGAATATTTCATTTTACATGCATATTGCAATTTTCTGGTTCTTCTTATATTTTTTATTACAGAATGTAGAAAATATGTTTTCACATGTAGACACTGATATGATTCTGGCGATAATAAATATAAGGTTAAAAACTGGTGAAGTGCCAGTTAAAAAACTGGACACTTGTTTTTTTTGCTTTCGACCTACCTGAGTGTTGTTGTTTCATCCAAAGTTCTAAGTTCTTTAGTTGGTTCAATAGTAAGGTCCAGAATTCCCTGGCTAGTGTTTTTTGGGGATGTAGCAATGCTAGTGGAAACTAATTGTATCAGTTAGCGCATTAGCATTAGTATTAGGATTAGCATTAGCATTAGTTGGTGTATTCAAAAGCATGGGGATAAGGTGTTGGAGCTGGCTGGAGAAACTCAGGAGTGTGTACAATGTGTAACGCTCTGCACTATGGGTTCTCGACCAATCACATTCACATTGTCATGGTGCAACCGAGTTGAGTTGGAAAAGCTCACTCTTCAGCTTGAAATACCACCACCTGTGCCATTCAATTGCTTTTCGGTGGGTCAGCTGGCTAAGGTGTTTCAAAAGGGCAGTCACGTGTATTTGTGAGACAAATGACGCAAGATCAATCCCTTTCAGTAGTGGACCTGTGAGCTAGGAAGCAAAGCTGACAAGCAAAGCTGTTAAGCAAGTAGCATGCCGCCAGTTACAGTGGTGCCGTGCCCTGGATCTGCAGTGTGCTCAGCTCAAAGGCTGGGGTTGCTGTGGACTGAGAGGGGCGAGTTTAACCAAGTTGAGTTGGTAAAGCTCACTCAGCTTAAAATACCACCACCAGAGTCATGGAATTGCTTGCATTTTGGTGGTGCTGCTGGCTATTGTGATTCGAGAGTGCGGTCAGGTGTTTGGGATACAGAGGACACAAGATCAATCCCAGTAGCGGACGTGTGAGTGAGGAAGCAAAGCTGTTAAGCCACACAGTGCCACAGGTTACACGTCAGGCGGATGCTAAACTCAGTA